CCCTGCCGGTGCCATCCAGCCCCCCTGCTCCTTGCCCAGGGCCCTGCACTTCCCTGGCCCCTCTCCCTGCTCCCTCCTCCTGCTCAGGGTGCCCTTTCTTTGTGCCCCAAAAGCAGGTGCCACAAACACGCAGCCCCCCTGCTTGGAGGGGGGGGCACCCCTGCCCCTCACCCCCCCACACACCCTCCCAAGGGTTTTCCCACGGGATTCAGTGCCAAGGGATGGAGCAGGTGGGGAGGGGTCCAGCCCTGGGTGGGACTTTTATTCCCCCCTGGGGTCTGGAGATGGTTTTGGGGTCCTTTCTGCCCCGCCCTCTTAGCGCAGCGGGCAGCGCGTCAGTCTCATAATCTGAAGGTCCTGAGTTCGAGCCTCAGAGAGGGCAGCCTTTTTGGTTCACCAGTTTGGGATGTCAGACACACACACACAGCCTGGGTTCGGTTTATGGGCACCTCAGCATCGAGGGGCTGGTGAAAGAGCTTGAGAAAGGTCTCCTGGGGGTCTGCCTCTGCCTGCCAGGGGGTCGGTGTTGGTCTCTTCTCACCACTAACTAGTGATGGGACAAGAGGGAAAGGCCAAAAGTGGCACCAGGGGAGGTTTAGGCTGGAGGTGAGGGGGGAAAAATGTCTCTGGAAGGGTTTTCAGGCCCTTTCAGGCCCTGGGGACAGGGGGGTGGTGGAGTCACCACCCCTGGATGTGTTCAGAAGTTGTGCTTGGTGCTGGTAGAGCAGGGTTAACGGGTGAACTCGGTGACCTTGGAGGCCTTTTCCAGCCTCAAGTGGTTCTGTGATAAGTCAATGGGATGGAAGGAACCAGCAGATGTAGACCCAGGTGCTGGGAACTTGAGCTGCACCATGTGTCCCAAGGCATGGTGAGCCCTGCAGGTGAGCCCTGCAGGTGAGCTCTGCTGGCACCAAACCCACCCCTCTAGGAGTCAAGAACCTCCTCTGCTTCAAGACCCTCCCCCACTGGGCAAAATTAAAAGACCCTGTGATTTTAAATGAAGATGAGGATCCCCTGACCCCAGCCAGCAAGGACCAGTGAAGAACTGGTGAGCTGTGGCAGTGCTGGGTGTGCTGGTTTGGGGGCAGGAGCCCCTGGCACCCCTTTCTGTGCACAACTGCTCCCCCATTGCCAGTGCCTGGGCTGGGTGGGCTTGGCTGGCACACCTGGATGGGGTGTCCCAGGTGGGGTGTCCCAGGAATGGGGGTGTCCCAGGGTGGGGGTGTCCCAGGTGGGGTGTCCCAGGAATGGGGGTGTCACAGGAATGGGGGTGTCACAGGAATGGGGGTGTCCCAGGAATGGGGTGTCCCAGGTTGGGGTGTCCCAGGAATGGGGGTCTCCCAGGATGGGGATGTCCCAGGAATGGGGTGTCACGGGAATTGGGGTGTCCCAGGAATGGGGGGGTCCCAGGAATGGGAGTCCCAGGAATGGGGATGTCCCAGAATGGGGGTGTCCCAGGAATTGGGGTGTCCCAGGAATGGGGGTGTCCCAGGATGGGGCATCCCCGGAATGGGGATGTCCCAGGAATGGGGGTGTCCCAGGTTGGGGTGTCCCAGGAATGGGGGTGTCCCATGATGGGGTGTCCCAGGAATGGGACAGGAGGGGGGGTGCTGAGCCAGAAATAACCCTCCCAGAGAGGAGGTTGAACTGGGACAAAATGGAACGTGAAGCTGCCCCCCCCTCCCCCCCGCGGGACAGGACGAGGTGGCCGAGTGGTGAAGGCGATGGACTGCTAATCCATTGTGCTCTGCACGCGTGGGTTCGAATCCCACCCTCGTCGGGGCTTTTGCTGCAGCTTTGGGGGAGCTGGGGACCCCCCAACCTCTCCTCCCTGGTCCTCCCTGGCTGCGGGGACCCCCCGCGGGTGGATGGATGGGGGGGTCCCAGGAATGGGGGGGTCCCAGGAAGGGGGGTGTCCCAAGAATGGGGGTATCCCGGGATGGGGGTCCTA